GTGTAGCACAGTCGGTTAAAGTCATCAAAGCCACAGCAAGCAGCATACGCCAAGGATATAGGCTCAGTCATTTCCAGGGGCATACTTGTAAAAAGATCAATGCACCACTGAAAGAGCATGACGCAATCCATGGCCTTGCACCCACAATCCGGAAAACAGGAAGTACTGTCCCATGCCAAGTTCTCTTTGGTAAACTCCTGCATGTCCCGAGGGTGAAATTTGTTTGCTTGGCAGAAGGAGCGAAAACTCGAATATGCTTCTTCCAACCGCAGTTCCACGCCTCTTTTTCGGCCGGGTGGCAGAAAGAAATTCAGAGGCCCCACCATCATACAAATCACTGAGGCAATGAACGTTCGTCCACAACCGTGGGGCAGAACATGCATTAGATCAAACTGGATGAACTCCGCTTTGTCTGCACCAGGAATGAACCTCAGTGGGGGGGGGTGTCCCAAGGCAAAGTTGTAAAGACAGTCCGCGTCCACAGCGCTCGCATTGAAACATCTTCGAAAGGAATGTCAGACAGGTTGGCCAAGCAATGTGGGCACAAATCATTCCGGGTGTGGTGCCGGAGACAGCGAAAGGCTTTGCTTTGAAAAATATGGTCCCCAGAGAAGCCCAAGCAAACAATGTAGAACTGTGCAACCGAAGTCGGAACACCAACAAAATACGCCGTGCGCATTGATCGTGCCATTTCCTCCAAGAGCCGATCAAGAACGGGATTTCCTGCAGCATTGCCCTGGTTATATTTAGAGTAGAGCTTGGAGGGGCAAGTGCTGAAGAGAAACAGCCTGTCCCAAGAACCATTGCCGATGGCCAACATTGGCCCCCAGGAGAGCTGTAGAACAGGCCTGCGCCTGTGGCCCACACCTTCATCTCCATGAAGAAGCGCAGGAATGCAAGTCGCCAAAGTATTCGCGTGATCCCGGAAGACGGGGTGGCTGCCATCAACACTACGATACCGTTCCCAGAACGCCAAAAGCTTGTTGCTCCAGGATTCTCTGTCTTGCAAAGCACACCCTGCTAAAAGCTTGGGCGCCCATCGGCCATTCAAAACCACTTGGCATGTTGCTCTTACAGGAAGCATGGGGTGTGGCTTGAGCCTCACCATATCTCGACGGCCCTTGCGTTGAACCTTGTGTACCTCGAATGATCAGAGTCGCAGGAAAAAGACAGAAAACACCTATGGCAAAACAAAACAAGCTCGCAAATTACTCTACGCAGACCCAGGTTCATTTTGGATCCAATGAACCGGCACAGGAAGCATCAAGCCATGGCTTTTCAGCCGGGACGACATATCCCGGAAGCAGTTGCGACTTCCGGCTTTCACACGGCTCAAGTCCTCGAGCTGTTCCTTGTCTTCACGATGATACTCCCAGGAAGCCAGCTTGGCTTGTGAAGCAGCCAGTTTGGCCGCCCTTTTACCTGTGCAATCCTTAGTGTTTCTTTCCCTTATGAAATCACATTAGACATTGGACAGACCAGCTGACACTACTTCACTTGAAACACCGGGCCAAGAAGCCACAAAGGCAGACACAACATTCTCAATGTGTTCGGAATGTCGACGTTTGAGAGCACCTGCCCACGGGAAAAATAGTTCTACTTACTCCACGGAACCAGGAATAAGTAGTATTACACCCCCCCTTCCCTCCCAATTTTATGACTGCATACTCTTTGTTTTTGCTTCCTGGAGGAATCCGGTTTCTTGAAATCAGCAGCTGTAAAAACAACCGCGCAGCAACTTGCCCAGCTGGCTCCCCATGGTATCATGAGCACGCAAGTGTTTCATTCACAAGGCCTTTTATACAAAACTGGCCACACATACACACATGGGGCGCGCAGCTCAAAACGCAAGTGGCAGTGGCATTCCCTGACTCAGCGATCAGTCCATGTCCGTCTGTTTTCTCTTGGGCTGGGATTTGGTCTTGGCAGCAGTCTTGGCGAAGTAAGTCCTGAGTTGTTGTTCTTCAGGGATCTATTACCCTAGGCCCGAAGTTCTGTAGAAATCCCTATCATTACGGAAAGAGCGATGCTGGTGTTTCTGGGCAAGAGTTTATGGTGTTAAGAAGGGTAGGGTTTAGGATACATCTCCAGGGTTTAGAGTTGAAAAAGGGAGTAGGGTTTTTATAGGGTGGTTTAGAGGGGGGGGGGGTATAGGGCCTAAAAAGGGTTTAGGGTTGTTATACGGTATAGTGAAAGATTGCTTTCTCAAGCGCGCTGCTTGATCTGCGCATGGTAGGTATTGAACATAATGCTCCTCAGATCAGACAGAAATAAGCCCTATTCTTCAGACATAGCCTACTCTGGTAGAGGTAAACCCTATAAACCCTAAACCCTAAACCCTAAACCCTAAACCCTAAACCCTAAACCCTAAACCCTAAAACCCTAAACCCTAAACCCTAAACCCTAAACCCTAAACCCTATAAACCCTAAACCCCTATAAACCCTAAACCCCTATAAACCCTAAACCCTAAACCCTAAACCCTAAACCCTAAACCCTAAACCCCTATACATACTTGTGGTAAAATATTTCTGGAAACATCATCAAAGTCACTCCGACCTGATGCTCTCCACCAGACTGACGTAGCTCTGCTTCCTGGGTATCGGGCCTATAGGTAGAAACATACCCTGTCCTGAGATATAACCTGCTTCAACCCTTTCCAAACCCTGTAAAACAAAAACCATACAGGTCAACCCTGACCCTCTCCCCCCCCCCCCCCCCCCCCTCCCCCCCCCCCCCCGTGCTGGCCATTCATCTGCTGCTGATGAGACCGGCCTCCTGAGGAGGCGGGACACCGCTGAAAACCCTAAACCCGTACAAGTTCAATCCTGATAGGGGTGAGTCTCTGGCCCTACACAAGGTACCCTATAGAAGAACCACAAATAAGATGGCTATAATGTAGACCAGGGGCGCACGGCCAGTGGATCCAGCTTCCAGCTTGGCCATGTCATTCAAATAGCTGGAGAGTTTGCCTTGCGTGTCTTTAGGGTTTAGGGTTTATAGGGTTTAGGGTTTAGGGTTTATAGGGTTTATAGGGTTTAGGGTTTAGGGTTTAGAGGGTTTAGGGTTTATAGGGTTTAGGGTTTAGGGTTTATAGGGTTTATAGGGTTTAGGGTTTAGGGTTTAGGGTTTAGAGGGTTTAGGGTTATAGGGTTTATAGGGTTTAGGGTTTATAGGATTTAGGGTTTAGGGTTTAGGGTTAGGGTTTAGGGTTATAGGGTTTAGGGTTCATAGGGTTTAGGGTTTATAGGGTTTACATCATGTTTGACCTTATATAGGAATTTAAAATTCAGATGACTCGGGTCATTCCAGGAGACCCGCAGAAGCCTCGAGGTTGCGCATGTCAGTCCTCAGACATGACGCTAAAACCCTACAAAGCTCCCTCAGAAATTTACAGAGCCTCAATCAGAGACCCTACACACCATATAATCCTGAAGAACCCTTCCCTGTAGAAAACCCTCGCAAGACTCAAGGGAAGGGAGGGAAGGAAGGGAGGGAGTGGGGGGGAGTGGGGGGGAGTAGGGAGGGGCGGGCAGGGGTGGGGCAGAGCTCAGGGCCAGGAACACTCTACCTTCTATGAGGCAAGGTACTCATACCCTTTCGCCTGGTCCTTCTCCAGCCTCTCTTTGGCCACCTTGACCAAGGCTTTGCGCGAGAGGATCGCCCGCCGATACTGTCCCAGGTATTCCTGGAGTGTTTCGTCACCCTCTACCTGAGGGAACTCCTCAAGCTTTCGCCTGACAGCGCCCCCACCTCCACCAGTCCCAGCGCCTGTGCCACCATCGCTGCCGGAGCCATCTGGGTCGTCCAAAAGGTCGCCTAGCTCGAAGTCGCTGGACATCAAGCCCATGTCCACCATTTCCTGCTGAAGCTCTTGAAGCTTCTCTTCGGCTGATTCCACGTCGTCCCGAACAAGGACAAGAAACTTCTTGATGCTGGGATCGTAAATGTCTTTCCTTTCAGGAGGCCCACCCTCATGAACCCTTATGCGTTTTAACACTGCAACACTGAAACAAATAAAGTCCTCACACGTGCAAAAAAAACAGGATGCCATGACAAGCATGGCACTTCGTGAGTTTGCGCTTGTCGCAGTACTTCATGGCACCAGCCACTCTGCTCCTGGCTTGGGAGTTGGGCGGAAGGGCTCTACTGTTTCTTGTGATCACACACACAGATGTTCTTCTTGAAAGACATATGGCGGTGCTAATTTGTGTTTAGCTTCTGCGGCCACTTGAGCTCATCAGTCATCTCTTGCTCTGTCTTCCAGGAGTAACCCTGGAGGTTCTTGCGCCACTTGCGCGTCTTGGTGCGGAAGGTGATGAGGCAATTCAGCTTGGCCTGGCAACATATTTTCAACAAAACGACAAGCCCTCAGAAGGCTTAAGGTTGGGGCGGGAGGGGGGGGAGGGTGAATACAGGCAACTGTTGCCTCAACAACCCCAGAGCCCTTTCCAAAGCCCACACCCCAAACAAGCCTAAACCCTATAAACCCTATCAACCTTGTGAACCCTATAACCCTAAAGCTTCTTATAAAACTCTTCATTATAAGCCCTATAGAACCTTATAAAGCCCATAGCCCTTTTCAAGAAGACCCCAGAATTTTGTATGGAGGTGGCTGCTCCATTGCTGCTACACGAGCTGGAGGCACAAGCTTAGGGTTTACAGAGTTTAGGGTTTAGGGTTATCGGGTTGTAGTTCTTTGGGTTTTTCTTAGGCTTCCCCACATTTGCCTCCATAGTGTCTATTTCGGGGGTTGTGCCTTGTGCTGCGCGGGGTCCCCCCCCGGGATGTAGCATCGGGCTATGAAGTCACGGAGCAGCCCTTGTCTTTGAAGATCTCCTCCCGCACAGCAGGGTGAAAGTACCGGCTGCATAGTGTTATATGGGGTGGAACAAGGTATTCACATTATTGTGTTCCAGTTTAGTGCTCGACAGGGTTTCTGTAGGGTTTATATAGGGTTGGGTATCCAACCTCAAAGAAAAGCACTACCCTAGTCAAAGAATCACCCAGTAAAATGTTTAACCCCGTGTATAACCCTAAAAGCAGCATGCCAACCTGCATCCCACTGCGCTTTGATGTCGGCCAAACAGTCCGGTTGGCGAGTCATACGGTAGAGAGCCCCCCAAGCAGCAGGGTGTGTACTGGAGTTGAAGGGACCCGCCCCGATGCCCTGGGGAAACACGCTTGCACTTATGGCCTGCTGGCTGTCTGGCACGGGGGGCGGCACAGGCGCAGAGGCCGGACTGGTGCTCGGCACGTGTGTTGGAAAAGCCGACGAGGCAGGGGTTGGCAGAGGCGGCAATGCAAGTGCAAGCCTCGTAGGCTCAACTTGCGTGGGAATCGGGGCAGGGCGCGGCGCAGGTGGGCATAGCACAGAAGCCTGTGAAGGCGGGCTGGGGCCAGGATGTGTTGGCGAGGGTGTGGTCAGTGGTGCTCTGCCTAGCTTTGCACGCAGCCTGTCCTTTGCATCGTCGTGGATTTTCTGCACAGACGAAGCCCCTTGTTCTTGGCTTTTCTGCACAGACCTAGCCTCTTGTTCTGCTTTCACAGAGGACACGTGCTCAATGATGAGGGCAAGATCATGCTCATGAGTGTCCCTCTCCTCCTGCATACGCAGTCGTGAGTCCTCTTCTTGTTGTTTCATCCTGGCTTCATTATCTTGCTCCTTCTGTTGCATTGCTGCTTCTCTTGCTTTCATCCTGGCTTCATGCTCTTGCTCCTCCTGTTGCATTCTTGCTCGGTGCCGACGCGTAGCCTCCTGCAGCTCCTCCTCGTGCTTGGCCAAGGCATCCACCATTTCCTTACGCATGGCTGCCAAGCGAATGTTCATTTCGTCTTGGACGGCTTGCTCCTGCTTCATTCTCTTGGCGGGTGGCATTGTGTCCTCTTCAAGCTGACTCTTGTCTTGCGGGGCCATAACCTGCTCATGTGCTTGCGAGGCCATAACCTGGGGGGCCATAACCTGCTCATGTGCTTGGGGGGCCATAACCTGTTGATGTGCTTGCGGGGCCATTGCTTGCGGGGCCATAACCTGGTGCACGTGCGGGGACATAACCTGCTGTTGTGGGGCCATAGCCTGCGGTTGCTCAGGGCCCTTTGGTGGAGGCCACACACTGCCCCCGGCACTTCCACTGGAGAAGCCTCATACACGGGCAGACGGGCGGGGTGGAACACCCAGCCAGGAAGGAGGAGAAAAAAAAAACACGTAAGCTAATTGGGCAGAAAAATATAAGCTAAGTAGCCACGACGGAGAGCATTGTGCGCTTGCAAGTACTCTGCCTTGAGGGCCTTGGATTCTGGAGTGTCCCGCATAGATTTCCACAGCTCTGCTGTCTCTGGAGACAAGCCCAACATGTGGTCATCCTCATTTTCTTTCTTGACCTGCAGGGCACCCCCCCCCCCCTCCCCTACATGTTCTTAGTTGTACACCTCCCCCCGTTTTCCAAGACAGAAGCCTTGCTTGGCGTAGCCATTAGACCCTCGCCCTGATCCTCCAGGTTCTTCATGCCCACATAGAGGCTGCTACACGACATGGCCCCAAGCAGGGGCTAGGAAAACAACCCAAGCAAGGCCCGACAATACCAGAAGACCCTGTGTGGACCTTTAAGACCCTCGAAGCCGAAAACCCAATCTATAAAGCACACCATCACGACCAGGCAGTGCCCGCTTGCTGCTCTGAAGGCCAGCCAGGTCATTTCTTGAAGGGTTTATAGGGTCTAGAGGGTTTAGGGTTTTGTGGGTTTTGGACCCTGCAAAGGCCTAAAGGCCTTAGGATTTTTGAGGTAGGGTTGAGAAATCTTCAGGGTAATATATCAGAGTTTAGGACAACTAGCTAGGTGGCTCTAAAGGGTTTAGAGGGCCCTAAAGCCCTAAATCCCTAAAACCCTAAAAGCCCAATCCTAAAGCCCTAAGACCATAGTTGCCCTAAAAGCCCAAGACCCTACGTACACTCCCTAATGAGCCCAACAACCCTAGAACTCTAGAAACCCTAAGAAACCCTCACCCCACCCTATATAAACAGACAAAGAGGACTTCCTTGACGTGTTGTCCAGGGATTTCAGAGGATTTTGGCATGGTTGGTAAGAACCCTATTTGAAGCCCTAAGAAGACCTGCGAAGCGAATCGCCGCATGAGGCCGATTGGGCAGCCCAACTAATCAGTTTTAACGCTGCGCGGGGTGTGCGCGTTATGTGCGGCAAGAGGAAGCACGGTCGCTGTTCGTATTCCGACACTTGGATCGGCACGACTACATCGCGAAGGACCATCACAATCCAGAATTGCGTCGGCTGGACCGCATGATTGCCTACATGCTCGGTCAGAGGACAGACGCACGACCACAGCATCCAGAGCATCTTCGAGCCCGCCCAACCCACCCACCCTCTCATAAACAAGAACCCTCATAAGGCTTTTAGGGTATTAGGGTTTGTGATTTGTTGGGGTTGAAGGATTTCATGGGCCTGCCTCTGGGGCTTCTGGGTCTTAGGGTTTATGGGGGTTGCAAGGGCACTGTGGCCTGACAGCGGAAGGCCATAAAAGCTTAATTATAAGACCCTAGAACCCTAAAACTCCCAAGCTGATAAGGTTCGGGTGCTGCTGGGGCTTGGGTTTCGACCCTATGAGGCCCTAAATACCCTAAAACCCTAAACCCTAAAACCCTATAACCCTAAACCCTAAACCCTAAAACCCTAAACCTCCTAAACCCTAAACCTCCTAAACCCTAAACCCTAAACCCTGAACCCTAAACCCTGAACCCTGAACCCTAAACCCTAAACCCTAAACCCTAAACCCTAAACCCTAAACCCTAAACCCTAAACCCTAAACCCTAAACCCTAAACCCTAAACCTAAACCCTAAACCCTAAACCCTAAACCCTAAACCCTAAACCCTAAACCCTATAACCTAAACCCTAAACCCCCTATAAACCCTAAACCCTAAACCCTTAACCCTTAACCCTAAACCCTTATAAACCCTAAACCCTATAACCCTAAACCCTAAACCCTATAACCCTTATAAACCCTAAACCCTAAACCCTAAACCCTAAACCCTAACCCTGGGAGTGATGTCCAAGCAGGTCGTCATCAAGTGGGACCACCCTGAGAGCTACAACATCCCTGCGCAGCACTATCGGGTGCCGAGGCTGCCTAGGGTTTAGGGTTTAGGGTTTAGAGGGTTTAGGGTTTAGGGTGTTTATAGGGTTTATAGGGTTTAGGGTTTATAAACCCTATAAACCCTAAACCGTAAAACTCTGCAGCCGGGGTCTGGAGCTGCTTGGAATTGGGTTTTCGGGCTTATATAGGGTTTAGGGGGGGTTCAGAGGACCCTAAGGTCTAGAACCCTAAAACCCCAAAACCCTTACAGCCCATTGCAGGCCTTAGAGTTTATCTACGGTTCTGGGGGTTTAGGAGGGTCCCTTAAACCCTAGAACCCTAAAACCCCAAAACACTTGCAGCCCAAGCCCGGAGTTTGGCCTTAGGGTTCCAGGGCCCTAGAATACCCGAAGACCCTTAAAACCCTAAACCCTATAAACCCTATAAACCCTATAAACCCTAAGCAAGCAGCTAAGCAACCCAGTTCTCTGCACCCTTAAACTTCAACGATTTGGGTTTTAGGGTTTTAAGGGTCTTCGGCAACCCTAAACCCTAAACCCTAAACCCTAAACCCTAAACCCTAAACCCTAAACCCTAAACCCTAAATCCTAAACCCTAAACCCTAAACCCTAAACCCTAAACCCTAAACCCTAAACCCTAAACCCTAAACCCTAAACCCTAGGCTAACCCTAAACCCTATAAACCCTCAACCCTAAACCCTAAACCATATATACACCTTAAACCCTATAAACCCTATAAGCCCTATAAACCCTATAAACCCTATAAACCCTATAAACCCTATAAACCCTATAAACCCTATAAACCCTAAGCAAACAGCTAAGCAACCCAGTTCTCTGCACCCTTAAACTTCAACGATTTGGGTTTTAGGGTTTTAAGGGTCTTCGGGTATTCTCGGGCCCTGGAACCCTAACGCTAACCCTAAACCCTATAAACCCTCAACCCTAAACCCTAAACCTTATATACACCTTAAACCCTATAAACCCTATAAACCCTATAAACCCTATAAACCCTATAAACCCTATAAACCCTATAAACCCTATAAACCCTATAAACCCTAAGCAAACAGGGTTTATAGGGTTTATAGGGTTTATAGGGCTTATAGGGTTTAAGGTGTATATATGGTTTAGGGTTTAGGTTTGAGGGTTTATAGGGTTTAGGGTTAGGGTTAACTGAAGGCCGCGCCTACAAGATGGTTTAGGGTTTAGGGTTTAGGGTTGAGGGTTTCTAATTCATGTAGAGGTTTAGGGTTTCTTGACAAAACCCCCACTAAACCCTAAACCCTCTTGGCACCTCCATGACATCTGTGGGGTTCGTCTCCTGCGCACGGTGTGCTTTTAACATTCAGGGTGGGTTTACCAGTTTTTTGGGGTTGTTAGGTTTTTTGGTTTTCCTATTTGTCTCGAAATACCAATTTTTTGGTCAGGGGGGGCCCCTAATTTTTCTGTTCGTTTCCGTGCGTTTCTTGCGCACTTTTTTGGTTTTCCGTGCTGCTTTTTTGGTTTTCCGTTGCTTTCTGTTTTGGGGTGTTTTGGGTTTTCGAGGCCATTTTTTGGTTTTTGGGACGGTTTGTGTTTTTTGGTTTTTTTATTTTTTGGTTTCTGGGTCTTGCTGGTCTTCAGTTTTTGGTTTTTTGTTGTTTTTTGGTTTTCCGGGCGTTGCAGGTCTTCTTTTTTTGGTTTTCTTGCTTTTTTGGCTTCTCCGGACGTTGCAGGCGTTCATTTGCTTTTGGTGTTTCGGGTTTTGCAGCTCTTAAGATGTGCTGGAGGGTGTTCTGCTGTGTTTCTCTGGCGTTTTCCGTTGGTTTCTCGTGCTGTACTGGGTTCAAAGGTCTGTTTCGGAGGGTCTTTTGCGGTTGCTAGAGGATTGAGGGACAATTGTGACTACCCTAAACCCTATAAACCCTAAAGATCCTTTGGGATCAAGGGCTCTAAAGGTTCTAGGGTTTCGCAAGAAAGGATTAAGGGACGATTGCGACGGGTTTAGGGTTTAGGGTTTAGGGTTTAGGGTTTATAAGGGTTTAGGGTTTATAAGGGTTTAGGGTATAGGGTTTAGGGTTTAGGGTTTAGGGTTTAGGGTTTAGGGTTCAGGGTTTAGGGTTTAGGGATCAAGGGATTTACAGGTTCTAGGGTCCAAGTGTCAGGGTTCTAGTGGCTTCGCATTCAGGGTTGGACTTTCGAGGTTTGGGCTTGCGTATAGAGATGGGGGGGGGAGAGAATGGCCAGTGTAAAGGTTCCAGTTTTGGGGTGTTTCAGAGGCTCTTCAAGCTTGGGGCTTTTACAGGGCTTAGGGTTTATAGGGGTTATAGGGTTTAGGGTTTAGGGTTTATAGGGTTTAGGGTTGATATTCTGCATTCGAGTAGATATAGGGTGAGTTTAGGGTTTAAGGTTTAGAAGGGTATAGGGTTTAGGGTTTATAGGGTTTAGGGTTTATAAGGCTTTGGGGTTTAGGGTAGAGAGAGACCCTATGTAAACCCTAGAAGGCTGTAACCCTAGCAGCCGAGCTCATATATACCCTGAATACCTATAGGCCTGCTGGAGCTAGTAGGCGGGAGTCCTTGTAATACCCGAATACCCTAAACCAGAGCAACCAACAAACACCAAGACGGCTGAGTATGAGCGCTTAGGAACCATCTTCCCGAAACAAAACTCTCCTATATATCCCTCGAAAGCCTGCAACCCTTGAGGGTCCTACATATAGTCTTCGTTTTTGGGGCTTACATAGGTTCTATTCTTGGGGCGGGGGGGTGGGGGGGAGGGGGATCAGAAGACATTCAAGGTCTCATAGGAACCCTAAACCCTGAGGACCTCTATAACCCAAAGTGGCACGTAAAACCGAAAAAGGGAGCGAAATCAACGCAGCTGTTCCCAGGAACATGAGCGGGCCATGCCACCCCAAATTTCACGCGTGGACCTTGCCACTGCAAGACTCCCAGAAAAGCCCATGCCTGCGCACGCAGAACTGTTAGA